GTTAGGAGCCGAAACGCCTGGGCTCTCTGCGGGGTGTGAGGGGGGTTAGGAGCCGAAACGCCTGGGCTCTCTGGGGGGTGCGAGGGGGATTAGGAGCCGGGACGCCTGGGCTCTCTCGGAGGGTGCGAGGGGGTTTAGGAACTGGGACTCCTGGGCTCTCTGCGGGGTGCGAGGGGGCTTAGGAGCCGGGATGCCTGGGCTGTCTCGGGCATAGGGGGCCTGGAGCTGGGATGCTTAGGCTCTCTGGGGTGGGAGTGGGGGGCATGGGAGGTGCCCCCTCCCCAGCCAGTCATCCCTCCAGGCCCTGACCCAGGCTGACCCTGCCTAGCCCCAGGCACCCCAACAGGGCCCCAGGGTCCAGGTGCTGAGTCACCCCCCGCGCTTCCCCCCCCTCCCCGGTGCCCTTGGGTGGCTGATAAGGAGGCCGAGAAGCGAGGCGTGCGCGCTCCCAGCCATCGCTGCTCTCCGCCCCAACCAGCCCAGAAGACCCAGGCGTCCAGGCCCCCACCCTGCAGCGCCCACAGGAGCTGCCAGGGCTGCCACAGCCACGCTCCAGAGTTTGACGCATCCCAGGCCTGCTCATGGGGCTGTTCTACTTGGGCGGCCCCCAGATGCTCCACCCCAGAGGTGGGTGCATCCCAGCCCTGGCCAGGGTCTTGAGGCCAGCGCTTGACCTCACTGGAAACAGCTGGTGTCCGGGCTGGGGACCCAGGCATCCAGGCAGGGAGCCCAGGCATCCGGACAGGAACCCAGGCATCCGGGAAGGGACCTTGGCATCCGGGCCGGGCTCAGTGTGCATGCGGGGGAGGCCCCCGGGTGGGGGGGGGGGGGGGGGGGGGTCCTTCCTTCTCTGGCCTGGAGGAAAGGGACCCACGCAGCCGGGTGTCCCCCAGGGGGTGACAGGCGGCTGCGGGTTCCTGGGCACCCACCTGGTGCGGCTGCTGCTGGAGCGTGAGCCCAGGGCCCGGGAGGTGCGAGTGCTGGACATGCGGGTGCCCGATGCCTCGCGGCCGGATGGCGCCGATGACACAGAGCTGGAGCTAGAGCCGGAGCTGCCGCTGGGTGAGGGCGGGCAGGCACACGCGTGTGCGTGAGCCCCCCCACCAACGAGGGGCTTCCCGTAGTTCCCTGCCTGGGAAACAACAGGAACCCAGGCCCCCGGGAGGGAACCCCGGCCTCCTACCACTCCCGCCCGCTGGCCCTGAGAACCAGCCCTACACCCACTGCTCTGTCACTTTGCACCGCAGTCGAGGCAGGGGGCCCCCCCTGCTCCCCCCGCAACAGACCCCAGATGTCTGGGCACCCCCCGCCTTGTGTCCCCCCGAGAACCACTTTGGGCTTGAAGCATTTGCCTCCGCAGCCCTCTTGCCACCCTGACTGACTCGACTGCCCCCGCAGCTGGAGCCTGGGACCCTAGTAGGCAAAACGGCACCCGGACACCTGGGTTCCCTGGGGCAGGGGTGGGAGCCTGGATGCCTGGGGGCAGCGGGCCTGGGCGCGTCCCGGCTTGCATCACCCCTGACCCCTGAGCCGGGGCTTGCTGCCAAGGAATGTGGCTGTGGGTCAGCAGCCACGAGCCGGCAGCCGCCCCCGCCCAGGGAACCCAGGCGCCCGGGCTCCCAGCCCACCCTGCTCCCGGCCAACGCGCTGCGGAGAGCGCTTGTGCAAGGGAGTTCCCGTGCGAGGCAGTTTTTCCAGGGAGTTGGTTGTCGGAAAGTGCTGCTCACGCGCCGGGAGTGGGGGAAGCAGCTGGGCCAGGCTGGCACCCGGGCGTCCGAACTGCCAGCCCACAGCCCCCCGGCACCCGGGCTCCCAAAGCCCCTACTGCCCCCCTCCCCCCGAACCCAGCGAACCCAGGCAGCGGGGTGACCCTAACCCCCCCGCCCCCCAGGCGATGGGCGGCTGCGG